CCCCCCCACCAGGCCCCCCATAACCCTCCCCCTCTCCTCCCTAAAAGTTTCTCGGCGGATTTGGGCTGTACTCAGCAAGCGCAGTACACAGCCCCCAACTCAGATCTGAAAAAAAATCAGTGAATGGTTGTTTTCTGACTGGTCGGCTGCGATACAGTCCGGGGTCGGGGTCGGGGTCGGCGGTCGGCAGGTATGCAACCCCGCACAATATAATAATAAAAGAATCAGAACGTCTCGGCATCCTTTTTACACATTCGGATGCTCATTGTGAAATCCATACATGGTGATCCTTGCCAGCATACGATACTTTCTAATTCAACAAGTAAAATACAGAAGTTAAACCTTCATCTTCAAGACCGCATGTCCTCTTTGAGCTGAGAGTCTTAAAGCACCACTACCTTTCCCTGCTGTTGGGAAAATGGGAAAATAGCCTACTCCTAAAAGATCGGAGCCCGGGCCCGACGCCGTTGATAAATCTCGTCGGCGGCCGTCGTGTCGTTTCGGCCTCGTAAAGAATTGGGGGCCCGACGTCGGCCCACATGGAAAAAGGTAGTGGTGGTTTAAGGAACCCTCTTCTTATCCAACATATAGCTTGGCTGCCCAGCTTTGAGGTAATCGCACCTCAAATATCATGGTCTGGCCTGGAAGCCGAAAGATTGCTGGAGGGGCGCGCTCAAACATTTTCTCCTCATGCACACACAACCTTTCTGAACATTTGCATGATCAATACAATGTCCCGTCATCCTTCTCAGACACTTGTATGCTCGGTACGATGTATGGTCATCCTTTCCAACACAACGACTCCCCAATTGCAATCATGCAAGTCCCCAAAGTACACAAACATTTGAACCTCAGAGAAATGAGTCAGATAGCAGCCAAACTCGAAGATATTACGCCAAAATACACAATTGTTGCGAGTAGCCGAACTCAAGTTCAACCGCCTGCTATACCCGCCGAGCTCTCTCCCTCGCTCAGGTATGTACTCTCTCTCTCTCTCTCTCTGTGCCTCACTGCCTCTCTCTTGCTTGGATCGCTCAATCTCTCTCTGAACGCACATGGTGCTCAACCCTATCAGCACAGTAGTCTTCTTCTTCCCTCGCTAGTCCTAGCTATGGTGCTACGCACCGGCTAATCCTTCAGTATGCCCGACCAGTCGCCTCAACCGTCACACAAGCCTACAGCAGTACTTCCTCAACATGCTAATTGACAGGTCAGTCACACAGGGTACTCTAGCTGCTTAAAGCACCAGTACACCATACATAGGCCTGCGGGTGTCAGCGTCGAACCCGCACCACTTTGGAGACCGCAGATTTTCTTTTTCAACGACGCCCCATGCCGCGCGGCCCCTCCGAGTTTTCCTTGAGGCGACAAAAAACTTTCTGCAAGGCTGGGGCCATGTACTGGCGGTTTAAGTATCCGCTCAATTGACAATCTTTGTCGGGTCCAGACCAGTAATGGTCTGACCTAGACCTGTCGGCCACAATTGCGGCAGTTCTGGAACTCACCAGACTTTTCCAGGATGCTGCTGCTAAAATTAGACTGGGACTTAGGACTTGGGACTTTTCTTGTCGGGTACCAGGTCGACGTGACTCGAAGGGCCTGAACCGCTTTTCGGCCGCCGGGCCTGATGGTTTGGCTATTGCACATGGGACAGGGACCATCGGGACTCTGGGACCAGGACACGGGACTTGGCTGAGACGTGAAATCTTTTCGCCAGCATAAGATACATTCTAATTTCTAAATCGATCAGTGACATACGGAAGTTCACCTAAATCTCCAAGCCCGCATATCCCATTTGAAGTTCGAACTGGGATTCTTAAAGGACGCTGTTCCTATCCAGCTCTGAGGTCACTCACCCAGGTTTTTGGTAAGATGCTGGCAGAAATAGCTCGTCTCCCCGGCTTTGAGGTCACTTCTCAGCTTTAGTGAGATGCTGGAAGAAACTAGTGCAGAAACGCGAGGACTGAAAACTGTGCAAAAGACTTCCTCAGGAAGTATACAACTATTACACACACACACACACACACACACACACATGCAAACACAGCCACCCACGCTCCTGACGAGTTGGTGAAAGTCCGACGAAACAGTCTGACACGGTTATGGTTTTATAGCGGAGTTGTGTATAGCAAACATGACAACACACAGACACACACACACACGCGCGCGCACACACACACACACACACACACACACACACACACACACACACACACAGTTGTCAGGAAAGCACCAAAACTTTACACAGTGGCCGCGTGGCCATAAATAACTGGGGGAGGTTGGATGCTCGCCAGGTCAATTGGCAAAAGTCAAATGAGCGCATACCCCAACAGGAAGTCGTTTCATGTGCGCATATTGTATAAACTGTCGAATGCCTTGGAAAACCTTTGATTCAAATGGAACTGCCTTCGCATCTCCACCTTCTTTTACCCAGGGATGTGCTGCATGCACCCAGCATAGTTCATAAAGAATACAGAAGTTAGTACCACTTTAACAGCTGATTGTGGCAACATGCATTGTTTTATGTTGATGATTGAATGTCACTGATACAATGAGATTCTGATCTGCTCTGCTTAAACCACCAGTTCACTTGATGAAGCAGAGTACTGCTCTCACTGGCAAGAGCATTTCGATTCGGGCCTCTGCCGGTCGCAAAAACGGGCAGGCCCCTTTGAACAGACGCAGTTGCACGCTCGCTAGCCTTGGAAGAAGGTAGCTTGGTCAACTTAGTCTCGTATAAACTGGGTTAGTTGATAATAATAATGTAAATGTTTCCTTTTCTTCCCATTTGTTCCCATTTGTTCCCATTTGTTCCCATTTGTTCCCATTTGTTCCCATTTCTTCCTAGGCTACCAGCTGGTCCACCCGGGTCACCCTATTTTCCCTGGCGTTCCGGCCGTGCAAGGAGCAGGGAAGGTCCCAGCCAAAAAGAAAAGAAAAAAAGAAAAAAAAAAACGAAAAAAGTTAAAAAAACCATGATATGCAGAAAAATAAACTGAACAACTTTTGCCACAGGGATACATCGAAATTCTTTACCAAATTTCTTTAATTTAAAATAAAAACTTAAACTAAAAAATAATTTTTATTTTTTTATTTCTTTTTGGCCCGGCCGGGCAAGTGGACCCGGGCCACTCTGCCGTGCAAGGACCAGGGAGGGTCCCAGCCAAAAAAAAACGAAAAGAAAAAGAAAAAAAAACGAAAAAAGTTTTAAAAACTATGATATGCAGAAAAAAAAACTGAACAACTTTTGCCACAGGGATACATCGAAATTCTTTACCAAATTTATTTAATTTATTTCTTTTTGGCCCGGCCGGGCAAGTGGACCCGGGCCACTCTGGTAGCCAAGATTTATTCCCATTTCTTCTCATTTGATCCCATTTCTTCCTGATTTTACTACACGACCCTCAAATGCCAACAGTTAAATGCTGCACCAAATGCACGGATCAACTCAGCAACAAGTCGAGACTCGGAAGATATAGTAGGTCCTTCTCAATTATATCTCAATTTGCAACAAAATATAAGCATCATGGGCCAACGGGTGCACGAGCAGCTGGGCAAGTGCAAGCACGCTGGCAAATGACGGGCAAGTGAGTGCGCAATACATGGACATAGAGAGAGAGAGGACTTACAAAGCGCAGCAGTTGCGGTGATTCGGGTGGCAGGGTTCTTGTCGAGCATTTTCCTGATTAGATCCTTTGCACTCTCTGATATCCTCTGCCAGCACTTTGCTGAAAATGCCACATGCCTTGACACAATTTCCGTAACCAGTCCCTGCATCGTCAACAGCCACACCAAGATAGGCATCTCATTCCCTGCTCTTGCGACAACGACAATAGTACCACAGTGGCCCTAAAATGCAAAACTTCCATGCGCTGCCTTCGCGTTAATTCCCGACTTGCTAACTGTGCATGAACCCACCTCATCAACTCCCATTCGCATACAACAATCCACTGAAATCACCTGCTTAGGTTGGACAGGGACAAAATAGCTATTTTTGTCCGGTAAGGTACCCGAAACTCTGCCATGTGCAGGCTTACGGTGTGAACTGGAACCTCTGTAGCGCCCGCCGCCCACACATGTTCTGACGGGGCCGTTTCAGCAACCTGAGTGGGTTAGGTGTGGTCTTCGCCCTTCGCATAACACTTGTCATGTCCTCAGCTTTGTGAGCCCATTGGGAGTAAAAGGGAGAAGGAGGCAGGGTCTGAACTGGGGTGAACATGCAGCTCGTCCTCCTGCCCTTGCGGATGGTTCAGCCAAACAGACTTGTCAGTATCTGGCCGGCAGACCCAGACACTCAGCATAAACGATGCAGAGAATCTCTCTCTCTCTCTCTCTCTCTCTCTCTCTCTCTCTCTCTCTCTCTCTCTCTCTCTCTCTCTCTCTCTCTCT